TTAAAAAAACAATTTTCATAAAGCGTTTGTAAATTAAAATTGATAGATTTGGAACTTTGGATTTTTCCTTTCTTCGTCCTCTTCTTATTATCCTCTTCTTCTTCTTTCTTATTATTCTTCTACTGTATTCTTCTTCTTTTATATTTCTCTCTGTCCCCACGCTCGCCTGAACTTTTTTATCTCTGGGGTTGATTATCCATGGAAATTGAGGCACATGAGCTACCCTACACGAGCACTTACAAAAAACAATTTTCATGAGAGATAAGCCATTGTTGAGGATATTTCTATGAAAACTAAACGCCAAGGATGTCTCAAAACGTGCTCGGCTTGGTCTCCTCTTGATCATCTCTTACTTCGAGATTATGCTGAGGTCTGCTGGGCTACTTTTATTATCTCTCCCTGAACCCCGAACTTTATTATCCCCTAGTGTTTATTCTCACGGGCATGAGGTTATCCAACATGGTCGTCCGTCGCTGGCGCCCCAGACGACCGCATGTTGGATATCCCCCCTGGGTGGGCTGGAGCCGTGAGTTTTTACGTGTGCAGGCCATCAGAGGGGTATATCTAACATGGTGGTCCCGAGATTGAATCACGTGTTTTCACGTGTCCAGGCCACCCAGGGGGTATCTAAGGTGGTGGTCCCGCACTTGAACAGCGTGTTCTTACGTGTCCAGGCCACCCAGGGGGGTATCTAAAATGGTGGTCCTGCGCTGGAACCGCGTGTTTTCAAGTGTCCAGGCCACTCACTGGGTATCTAAAGAGGTGGTCCCGAGCTGGAACCACGTTTTCTTTTGCGTGTTCAGGCCGGCCACCCAGGGGTGTATCTAACATTGTGGTCCTGCGCTGGAACCGCGTGCTTTCAAGTGTCCAGGCCACTCAGTGGGGCGTCTAAAATGGTGGGCCTGTGCTGGAACCGCGTGTTTTTGCATGTCCAGGCCACCCAGGGGGGTATCTAACATGATTGTCCCGAACTGGAACCATGTGTTTTTACGTGTTCAGACCGCCCGGGGGGGGATATCCAACATGGCGTCAGGCCCAACGCCGCATTATCAGGAAACGCACGAGGGGCGAAAAGCGCTACCCGAACACATGTACCAAAACAGAAAAGTTATGCTTTCTTGTTATGGAAAGGGGGTGGCGCTCTTTGGGGCCTCTCCAGGGAAGACATTGCGAGGACGTCTCGAGCGGCAGCGCGAATTCAGCGTATCCAGGCCACGCAGGGGGTATCGAACATGGTTGTCCCGAGCTGGAACCATGTGTGTTGACATGCCCGGGCCACTCATGGGGGTATCTGACATGATTGCCCCGAGAAAAGGAACACGTGTTTTAGCATGTCCAGGCCACCCAGGAGTGTATCTAACATGGTTGTCCCGAGCTGGCACCATGTGTTTCTACGTGTCCTGACCACCCATGGGGGTACCTAGCATGATTGCCCCGAGCTTGAAACACGTGTTTTTACCTAACAGCGAAGACTGATAGGTTTCTAGTGGTATCAAAAGAGAGCAGCACATTACTCCACAGGGGGGTCTGGGCAGCCGTTGGGGGGCCGTTGGGGTTTGCCGGGGGGGATCGTTTTTCGCATACAGTCACACACTTCGTGCTTTTCGATTTCCCATAACTCCATTCCCAGGCCACATTCTGAATGCCCGGAGCCAACTTCACGCCACTTCGTGCTCTTCGACTTCCCAGAACTCCATTCCCGGGCCAAATTTTGGATGCCCGGAGCCAACTGTAGGCCACTTCGTGGTCTTCGAGTTCCCAGAACTCCATTCCCGGGCCACATTTTGAATGCCCGGAGCCAACTGTAGGCCATTTCGTGGTGTTCGAGTTCCCAGAACTCCATTCCTGGGCATGATTTTGAATGCCCGGAGCCAACAGGCCATTTCGTGTTCTTCGAGTTCCCAGAACTCCATTCCCGGGCCACACTTTGAATGCTGAGGCAGGCTGATGCTGAGGCTGAGGCAGGCTGAGGCTGAAGGCAGACTGAAGCTGAGGACGAGGCTGAAGGCAGACTGAGGCTGAGGCTGAAGCAGGCTGAGGCTGAGGCTGAGGCAGAGGCTGAGGCTGAGGCAGGCTGATGCTGAGGCAGGCTGAGGCTGAGGCTGAGGCTGATGCAGGCTGAGGCTGAGGCAGGCTGAGGCTGAGGCCGAGGCTGAAGGCAGACTGAGGCTGAGGCTGAAGCAGGCTGAGGCTGAGGCTGAGGCAGCTGAGGCTGAGGCTGAGGCAGGCTGATGCTGAGGCAGGCTGAGGCTGAGGCTGAGGCTGATGCAGGCTGAGGCTGAGGCAGGCTGAGGCTGAGGCCGAGGCTGAAGGCAGACTGAGGCTGAGGCTGAGGCTGAGGCTGAGGCTGAGGCTGAGGCTGAGGCTGAGGCAGGCTGATGCTGAGGCTGAGGCTGAGGCTGATGCAGGCTGAGGCTGAGGCAGGCTGAGGCTGAGGCCGAGGCTGAAGGCAGACTGAGGCTGAGGCTGAAGCAGGCTGAGGCTGAGGCTGAGGCAGGCTGAGGCTGAGGCTGAGGCAGGCTGATGCTGAGGCAGGCTGAGGCTGAGGCTGAGGCTGATGCAGGCTGAGGCTGAGGCAGGCTGAGGCTGAGGCCGAGGCTGAAGGCAGACTGAGGCTGAGGCTGAAGCAGGCTGAGGCTGAGGCTGAGGCAGGCTGAGGCTGAGGCTGAGGCAGGCTGATGCTGAGGCAGGCTGAGGCTGAGGCTGAGGCTGATGCAGGCTGAGGCTGAGGCAGGCTGAGGCTGAGGCCGAGGCTGAGGCTGAGGCTGCTGCAGGCTGAGGCTGAGGCTGAGGCAGGCTGAGGCTGAGGCTGAGGCAGGCTGAGGCTGAGGCTGAGGCTGAGGCTGAGGCTGATGCAGGCTGAGGCTGAGGCCGAGGCTGAGGAGGCTGAGGCTGAGGCTGAAGGCAGGCTGGCTGAGGCTGAGGCTGAGGCTGAGGCAGGCTGAGCTGAGGCTGAGGCTGAGGCTGAGGCAGGCTGAGGCTGAGGCAGGCTGAGGCTGAGGCCGAGGCTGAAGGCAGACTGAGGCTGAGGCTGAAGCAGGCTGAGGCTGAGGCTGAGGCAGGCTGAGGCTGAGGCTGAGGCAGGCTGAGGCTGAGGCAGGCTGAGGCTGAGGCTGAGGCTGAGGCAGGCTGAGGCTGAGGCAGGCTGAGGCTGAGGCCGAGGCTGAAGGCAGACTGATGCTGAGGCTGAAGCAGGCTGAGGGCGAGGCTGAGGCAGGCTGAGGCTGATGCAGGCTGAGGGTGAGGCTGAGGCAGGCTGAGGCCGAGGCTGAAGGCAGACTGATGTTGAGGCTGAAGCAGGCTGAGGGCGAGGCTGAGGCAGGCTGAGGCTGAGGCAGGCTGAGGCTGAGGCTGAGGCAGGCTGAGGCTGAGGCTGTGACTGCGACTGCTGTTGCCACTGCGACTGCCATCGCGAATGCGACCACGACTGCGAGAACAGCAGAATTCTACAACAGGATTCTTATCTGAATCTTAAGGGGAATGCTTCCAGATATGCTCCTACACATCGCTGTTAGGTTGCTTTGCCGGGATAATTACGTGTCCAGGCCACCGGGGTAGTTTTACATGGGCTTCCTGGGGCCTTCCTGGGGGACTGGAACGGACGTCTAACATGAAGATGTATTGAGGATGCCTCAAGCGAACCCGTTTGTCTTCAAGTGTCCAGTTCTCCCAGGCGAATGTCTAGCATGAGGTGACACGTCCATTGGCACGTTCCGTAGCGCGTCCCCTTGGCACGTCCCGCGGTGCGTCTCCGTGGCACGTCCCCTGGCACGTCGGCTGGCGCGTCCCTTCGGACGTTCCGCGGCGCGTCCTCCTGGCATGTTTCCCTGTCAATTAGCCTTGGGGCAGCTGCTATGTGCTCAGGGAGCTCGAGGTCAAGATCAAGATCTGTTCGGCCAGGACTCGGATGCAAAGGAGGACTCGATCCACAACGCTATTCTAGAGCACAATCGCGACATGGCACATCGCAATTCAGCACGGCGCAGCACAGCACAGCCCTCTGCACGGTACATTAAGATGAAGACATTCAGCATTTCGTTTGCCCGTCGCCCAATCAGGTGCCTTTGAACCGCTGCCATGCCTTACATTTCTATATTCATTTCCGGGTTCGTGGGTCGATCATGTTCATCCCTAGTCGTTGCCTGACGGTCCCGAGGCCTTGTAGGGCCCCCGAGAGGCCGAACACCGGGAGCGGCGAAGAGGGGAGGGATGACTAGGGGGGTGGATATCATGGCGTGGGCCATGATATTTCCCCAGATTTCATGGCGCCGATTCTTATTTAATCGCTTCGCTCATTCCGCCGGCCCTGGGGCGCTATTTGGGGCCTCTTGGGGCCGTCTTGGGGGCTTCTTGGGGGCTTCTTGGGAGCGTCTTGGGGCTCCTTGGCGGCGCATTGGGCTCCCCTGGGGCCTCTTTGGGGGCTCTTGGGGGCCCCTTGGGGCGGGGGGGGGGGTAGTCGATTGCGCCCCCCCCCCCCCCTCGGAGGCCACGATCCTCGTGAGGGGTGGCGAAAAATAGCCTCCCCCCTGGGGATCGCCCAGGACCCGGCTGGGGATCGGCCGGGGTACTTTTCGTCCGGGGCCCCCCAGGGGCCGCCCCGCGCGCGCGAACTAGAAATATTGTTAAGTAGTTACCGGAGATCTTGGCACGCCTCTGGCCCGTTGGGCCGGCGAATTTCATTACGTCCCTGCTCCCCCCCCCCCCTGGGTCGCGCACATGCCGCTGGTCGTGATTTGCGCCCCCCCTCTTGGCCGAACCTGCAAACCACGAGACGCTGTATAGCCAACCATGATAGTAAGGATGGGGCAGCTTTCCAAGGCTACCCTTGTATCCTTGCCTCTTTGGTATTCGGCATTCCTCGGCATTCTGCTGCGCCCCGCACAGAAAACGTCAACATGGCGTTCCATGGCCGTTGCATCCTCACCGCGCATCCTTGCTGTCCTGGTCGAGTGTACGTCTGGGCCCGCGCCCCCCCTCTCGGCGCGCCGCCGATCCTCCAGGCCGTCCAGAGCCTCCGCTGGCGCGTCTACGCCCCCGTCCTGGCAGGCCTCCGCGCCTGCGCGCGGGCCGGCGAGCGGCGTGGCCGCGGCGACGAGCGGCGACTCTCGAGGATCGCGGGCCCGTCTTCGATTCGGTCGGTCGAGGGATCAAGGATGAGGAGGAGGAGGAGGAGGAGGATCGATGAGGATCGAGGAGGAGGAGGAGGAGGAGGAGGAGGAGAGGAGGAGGAGGGAGGAGGATGAGAGTCGATGAGGAGGATAGTCGAAGAGGAGGAGAACGAGGAGGAGGAGGAGGAGGAGGAACGCAACAAGCTCTCGCTTCATGTATGGCAAACCTCAAGAAGGAGGAGGAGGCGGAGGAGGAGGAAAGGAGGAGATGGAGAAGATGGAAGAGGAGGAGGAGGAGGGGGAGGAGGATGAGGGGGAGGGGGAGGAGGAGGAGGAGGAGGAGGTGGAGGAGGAGGGGGAGGAAGAGGAGGAGGAGGAGGATGTGGAGGAGGAGGAGGAGGAGGAGGAGGAGGAGGAGGAGGAGGAGGAGGTTGGATGATGGAGGAGGATCCAGAAGAGTAGAGGAGAAGGAGGGGGAGTAGGAACGTGGATCGATGAGAAGGACGAGGATTTAATCCTATTGCGAACAAAGCGGAATCCACATAACCTTTTCGGAGGTCCGCCAGGATTTCTGGAATCGGCTTTGGCCCCCCTGGCGGTGCCTCAGGGGCCGCCCCGCTCTGCGCGTCAGGGAGTCGGGGGCCACCGCCGATCCAAGAAACCCGTGCGGACCTCCTCACGTTCATGTTTATGCAATTTCTAGTGGCCGTTTAGAGGAGGAGAGGCAGGAACAGAAGATTCAGACCCTTTCACGTCGTGTCAGAATTATGATGGCGGGTGTTTGACGGTTCAGGCTTCTGGGGCCCTCAGCAGGTCCCAGGACCTTCAAACATCGGATCGGGATGAAAAAACAGCCCGCGGGAAGGGGTCAGACCTCTGGGGGTGAGTCTCGTGTGAAAACGTCGGGGGTCTGGGGATCACGGGAATTTTGGGGGGAATACGCTCAGGGGGAAATGCATCGACCCCCAATCGCAACTTCATCGCCGATAGGGGCCCGACAGCCCTACCCCGCCAAGGAACGGCGCTATCCGAGGCCTATCGCCAATCCCAGGTCGATGTTTCCCCCTCGGAGTCGCCCTCTCTTTTCGTTGCCCCTCAATAGATGTAGGAGGAAGGGAGAACAGAGATAATAGAAGGGGACCCAGGGGGCTCGGGAGATCGGGAATGTGGAGGAGGATGATGATCGAGGATCGAGTATGGAGATGATAATCCGACTCGGTTTGAATTCATTAGCTAACGCCGCACCGCAGAGTCCTTGGAGTCTTGGATGCATCGCTTCGGGGGTGGGTTGCCTGAGCGACTGCTGGGCGGAGTTACCCGGACATGTTTGAGGCGTCCTAGGATACGTCTGAGGATTCCCGGACGTTTCTCCTAGGCACCTGGGGGGTTTTAGGTGGCCATCTCTGAGGGGCAGGTGTTCTGGAGCCGCTCGAGTTTGTTTTAGTATTGGGCTCCTTTGGTGGCCTTCCAGGAGGCGTCCTGGGGACTTCCCGGGTCGTCTTGTGGTATCCCGTATCTGTCCACCTCGGCAGGTTCCTGCTTCTCCAGACCCGTCCCCTTACAGTCAACCCGCATAGTAAGGATGGGCAACCTTCTCATGGGTACCCTTGCATCCTTGCCTCCTCGGTCCATCCTTCGACAGCTTCGTTGGCCGCGCCCCGCTCGAAAAGCTTCGGAATGGGCTTCCAAGGCCCTTGCATCCTTATCGCGCATCCTTACTGTACTGGCTGACTTTCTTCCGCGTCATCTCCCCCTCCCTCGCCTTCCCCTCTGCTCCCTCCTCTGCGGCGGCTGCAGGAGGAAGACGGAGAGCGGTTGGAGGCGGGGAGGGACAACACTCCGATGGGGGAGGATGAGGACGTAGGTACGGAGGAGGAGGAGGAGGAGGAGGAGGAGGAGGAGGAGGAAGAGAAGGAGAAGGAGGAGGAGGAGGAGAAGGAGGAGGAGGAGAATTCAACGGATTGAAAGAAGGATGAACAGGATGAGGAAGAGACGACAAGAGGAAGAGGATGAGCAGGATGAGGGAGGTGAGGAGGCCTCCTCAGGACTCCAGAGGGCTTCTCAGGTAGCTCTTGGGGGCCTCTGATGGCCCTTTGGAGGCCCTTGGGGGCCTGCAAGGAAACCATCGGTCTTCGCAGGCCGTGTTGGGGGCCTCAGCAGGCTGTCTTGGCGCTTCTTGGGCTGACTGCGGGTCGTCTCGGAGTCCTGGGTTGTCCTGGGCCTTCTTGGGGCCGTCTTGGGTGGCGCCCACGTGGCCCTTCTCGGGGCCCTTGCGCGTCTTGGAGGCCTCTTGGGGCCGTCTTGGCGCTATCTTGCAGACCCCTGGGGCCGTCTTGGTCTGCGGCAGCCCGACATGGCGGGAACCTGACAACTTGCGACTCACCGACGATAGTACACGGTATTGGCCTCTTTGGGGCCTCCTGGAAGGCCCCTTGGGCTGTGCAAGCAGGCCTCTTGAGCCGTCCTGAGGTCGTATTGGGCCTTCGTAGGGCCAGGGCTTTCTTGGAGGCATCTGGGGGCCATCGTGGTGTCGCGTGGGGCCATCTCGCACGTCTTGGAGGCCATCGTGGACCGTTTGGGAGGCCGAGCGCCGAGTGCACTCCAAGGGGCTGACGATCCCACTCGGCGGTGCCTTCGGGGCGCCTGTTTATGCATCTTGGCGCAGCCGACCCTATTCGATGTCGTCCTGTGGTGCGATCGGATTGGACACGCAGTATCGTTTATCCGGCCTCCATCCCCATCCCCATCCCCTTCGAGACCCCACCGACTTACCCCCCAGTTGGGGATACGCCCCTCGAAACCCGAAGGGAAAGACCTATATCCCCATCTAAGGGGGTACATCGGCCAGTGGGGCCCAGGCCACGCCGCTGGGGATGGGGATCGGATAAACGATACTCAGGTACAGAAAGAATGCGGGGCGACAGCCGACTGCAGTTCCTGCCAAGTTTGAGCAGGATTCTCGTCATACTGCTTGGTTTCCTGCCTGTTGCCAGTTGCTCGAATCTGCCGCTGATGTGTCCGCAGTCCGTGGATGTGTCCGCAGCCCGCGGGGGGCAGACATGTGAACACTTGGGAGTTTCGCGCTCTCTGTCTTTCTCTCTCTCTCTCTCGCGTTGTCGGTTCGTTGGGATTTAGTTCCCGTTCTGGCATGTTATGTTTGTGAGTGGGCTTGCATGGTTTTGTCGATTAGTGTGGTCCCGCTTGGCATGGCGTAGCATGGTCGGTCTTATTTGTTATGGTCTTGTCTGACTTGGTCGGCTATTGGCAACGACAATGACGCTAGATGATTGGGGATACGTGGGGAACCATTCACACCAACACGAAATCAGTGAGGCACCACTATTGATAGGCCCCCTCATGGGCTCCTTGGCCGTCGTCTTAAAGATATGGTTGGCAGTCTTGGAGGCCTCTCGGGGATGCGCTCTCCTCGCATAGCCTTCTGGAGGCATCGGACTCGTTTCGCGGCTTCCCGTGTGCCTTTTGGCAGTGTCTTGACGCCTTTTCAGACGGTATTCGAGGCCTCTCAGGGGCGCTTGGGCCGTCTAAGCCGCCTTCGACGCCTTTTGGATTGTAAATGCAGGTGAAGTGTGCAGAGTGTGTTGCGAGTTTCCTCGTCTCCTCTCCCTCTCGTCGCCTGCCTTCTTCCTCTCGTCGTCCCCAGATCCATTTTGGCCCCGCGAGTCTTGGAGTCAGCGGCCCTTCGGGTTCGGCTTGCGTCGGACCCAGCCCCGCCTAAAGTGCGCAGTCCGTCGGGAACCATCCCTAGGGCGAAATTGCTCGCGTGTGGCGATGTTGCTGGTAGACGCGCCCCTCCAGGACGGCCAAGCCATGTCGGGTCTTTGGCGCATGGAGCGAGAGGTTGTGTGATCTCTTTGATTTCGAATATCCATCACAGGCACTCCATCAGCAGGCCAACGTCATCTACCCTGCTCGTTGCTGAGCCGTGCTAGTTTGTTGTAATTTGATGCACCTCCAACAGGAATGGGACAACTGTTTTGCACAAAGTATGCAGATTTCTGTGACGATGACCTGTCGTTGAAACGCTTGAAAGACCCAGTGGAGTAGAGAGCAGCTGGGAACGCGATGTCGCGCCCTGAAGCGCAAGCTCCTTGTTTTTGTGTTTGTTTGCGCCCGGTCGCCCTGACAGGAAACGCACGCAGAACCAGGTATGGCAGTCGCCTGGTCCCCTCCTCTTCCCCGTCGTCCCTTACCTCTTGTCATGCATCATGTTGCTGCCCGCGGTTTTTCAACGATCCCGCGCCGAGCATTGTTAGACGCACGCTTTTGCCCATGTGCTTGTTGACGTACGGCTAGTCTTTTCGCTCGCTCTTCATATCTCAACATTTGCGTATAAGTAGGAGTACTATATCAACAACTTGTCCAGCGATTTTATGGCACAAGTCAAGGAGCGCAGCAAGCCCACATACAGAAGAGCTGCGCTTTCAGTTCGAAAGCATGTGTAATGCAATGACTCTGGAGCGTATCTCCCTGCTGGAATTTCTGTCGCAGAGCCAGAACCTGAGGTTGAGACGTTTCCTTCACAGACGTTCATCCGAGCTCGTGTACAAGGGCTTGCCCCATTACCCGACCACACTAATATACATATGCAATTGGAATTTGCTGGTGTGGTTAACCCGAATTCTGCATTCGATCAGTTTTTTCTAAAAGAAGTGATAGTTAAGCAGGCTTGGTGGTATCAGAGGACCCGATCACTCCCAACGAGGAGGGTGCCGGCGACGAGTGCAGTCCTACTGGGTGGCCAGAATGAACAAATTTCCCCTTTGAGTAGTATTGCTAGGGATGGTGGCACGCGGACACAATTATTTCCGATTGTAGCTTTGGCGCTCACTCATTCGTTCCACATTTGCTTGCTGAATGTATACATTCGTGGGCTTTCCAAACGCAGCGATGTGAGACAATTGAACGGGTCCCACCTTATCAGCACAACGTACATGTTCTTGGCCGTGCCATTGCCGCATCATGCTATTTTTTCAGACACCCT